GGCCTGACATTCGCACATTCTGACACTGCTCACATTAGGACAGGCTGGAATTAGGACATTCTGATTTCACCAACCACCACAGAGGAATCTATGGTTTCCATCAAGACATGGAAAGAAAAAATCTCCCACCATACTATGAAAACTGGCCAAAGAAAAAAGTAACTACTATGCAGTCTAAGCTTATTTTTTAAGAACTCTTTTATTGGTCATTTCTAATGTTTGGGAATACCCTAGACTGAGAACATGTAGAAAAGACTTTTTCTTCTATACAAAGTTATCCAGCACCACAAAAATGATGACTTGGAAGGCTAGCACAACAATTCAATTTGAAGACAAATTTCAGACTCACAGGCAAGATCACAGAAAAAAGAATATGAAGAACCCTCTTACTGACAGTTATCTGCTTCCTTTCAAAGGTCCCAAAGTCAACAATAAGAGAACTGGTATGAAATCAACTAGTAGCATTTTCCTCAGACTTAGTTTTGTTTCGCTCCTCTGAGGTGCTATAGATGCCTCTCTAACAAAAAAAAAAAAAGGAAAGAAATTATAACAGTCTCCAATAAACTAGTAAGTGATACACGTTGTAGTGGAGCATACCAGGTAATCCCTAAAACTCTAGATAAGCAACTGGTTTTCAGTGTAAATTAATTCAGGGGACTTGGGCTACAACTAAAAGCAAAAATGGACACTATGGTCAAGTAGATTACCATCTTGGTGTATCTTGGATACTGCAAAGAGAAAGTAATTTACTACACTCTGTGTATACAGCGTAAGCTTCTTCCCCTGTAGACTTTCAATAGTGTTTATAATTCAAGAAGCAACTGAGATGATGATGTTAACTACCACAGTTTTAATAAAAATATTTTTATGCTGCAAGCCAACTTTACAAACCATCTTCAAAGGAAAAGTAATGCTGGAAGGAAGTTTCTACATTATGAACTAGAAATGGAAGTAACTACCTTGTTAAATAGATACCTCTACTACCTCATTTCATCTGATAAGGGTCCTAATTTAATGTACACCTTAGGTAGGAATGTTTTTCTTTATAAATATGTTGCTTGGAAGAGAAGGGAGTACAAGTATTGCAAATTACTTTGAGCTTCAGAAAACTCCCATTTCTGAAATTACTAAGCTCTGTAGCGTAGCCTAACCTTGAGCAAATATACTAGACTTTTAGAAGCTACTGGGCAGATCAGAAAGTTCCACCAGGATTTGAACAAATCTACGCTGCGCCACTGACACATAGGTCACAGGGATACACTTGGATGGACCTGAAACTCCCCATCTGTAATGCAAAAAAGTTCACATACTAATTTGGTAACACTCTTAAGCCACATTAAGTAAAACATTCAAAGTCCAAAACTGTCTGAATAAAGGAGTAGTGAAAACTATTACTAATGCAAAGGAGTACATTCCAGTATTAAAACTATTGCAGAGTTGTACATTACTGCCGCTGAATCCTGGACAGGCTATCTAGCCAAACAGAAGCTCTCCACAACTGCTCCACTTTGCCTCCTCAAGTTCATCAGTAACAGCACAAATCTGTTTGTGATATCACCATCAATCTCAGAAAGATAAATGTCATGTCAACATATACAAGACTGCCATCATTAAATCACTCAGGCAGTGAAAACAGGCCAATTAGAGAAAAATGACTGTTTGTCCACACCATCAATCCACACAGAAATCTCTGAGCAATGAAACAGCACTAGAAATAGCTGGCTTTTTAGCACAGATCTGCAGGGTGCTAGCAGTCCCATATGGAAGTATTAGACAGTGACTACCCAATGTGCAGCTGTCTCCAGCATATGTCACTAAACTGTCATGTTTTTTTCCTAATGATCTTAGTACAATATGAAAGGTAAAAAGCAGATCCAAAAGCTGACCAATATCAGTTCCTGTTGCTGGCAAACTCTATTTTATAGTTTCTACTCTTCTCTCAAAGGAAGTTAAAGAGTACAAGCAAGTATCTTGGGGTATTGAAAGCTGAGCTAATATTCCTGGTTTTCATTAAGGTTGTTTGATACTTCCCATTAAAATATCTATTTCAACTGATAGTGCTTTCAATTTTCTTTGGAAAAGCATTAAAATGAAGGTGGGTTTTACCATTGCTGAGAATGGGTTAGGAAAAAAAAAAAATTGCTGTGCCTGTCTCATTGTATATTCATTTGTTCATTAAACTCCTATGCTTTTTATTTAAAAAATGATCCAGCTCGTGACCTATACTTACAAAACTGTATCTTGCTTTTAGGAAGGGCCTTCTAAACAGGTCAAGCAACAGAGCTGCACTAAACTCCATTTTGCACACACTTGGGAGAGATTTTCAGCTCAAATTTAGCTTTGCAGAGTCCGCCTGCACTCAACAAACAGTGAGTTGTGAAAGGCAGTGCAATGCTTCCAGTGCACCTGCAGCTGCAGGGCGCAGCCAGCTCTTCTGGCCCTGGGTGCCTGACTGAATTAAGGTATGTGGTATTTCGAACACATACACAAGCTTCTTCTCTCACTTTACAGTATGAGCAACACATAATTAGCCTGGTCTAGAGGCACGCCAAGCTCTCAGCTAACCTGAAGAGATGTAGCTGCATTAGTGACACATGGAGTCTCCTGACTGCAGTAACTGAACATAGGCATAGCTAGCTGGATTTTTTTTAACTGTCTCCCATGGAGTCCCATGCAACACTGGTAGCAAATGAAACCCTATTTTTTTCTTGGCAAGACCTTAGGTTTGTATTTTGCTTCCTCGGTAACCGTCTTCTGACTACAGAGCAGTGAGCACTTATAGCACAAACAAATATAACAGAAGTTAGATGAATGGATGACTTGAACTTTCTTCTCTTCAATACCCTTAATAAGCACTCTACTACTAACTACTCGTTCAAATATTGGGAAGAGATGAACCAAAATCAACAGCACAAGAAAGCCCACACAGAAGTAACCACTGCAAGAAATAGTGTGCAGTGTAAAAGCACAGGGCCACACACTGGACAATAAAGAGAAAATATTCAGTAGCTACTCACTAAGCAAATACCATCCACCCTGTGCAGTAAATGACTCTGTGGAAAAACTAGGCTGTAATAATGAAATTAAAGACTGTCTCATAATGCATATGTGTAGGCAAATTAAGGCTGTTTGTGTATTCCCTGACTTTGACTATTTGACTTTGCAACTTTAATAACACGCTTCTAACGCAGTTTTGTGCGTGAGATATTTAAATTTCAAAAAGCATTTGTACACAAATGAGGTACAGCCCTCCGATCGCTGGCCTGATGCCAGCACAGCCCCTGCTGCCGTGCAGGCTGGTTGCTGCTGCGCTCAAGACGCTGTTTTGGTGAGACGACAGTAGAGCAGAGCAGAGCGCTCAAGCAGCTGGCAGCGTTGGGCAGGGCAATGGTGCTCTCTGCTGGGGAACAGAAGCAACACAAGCGCTCCGTCATCAACGCTAACACCCCCCGGCTACTGGGCTACCTGCAGGTGAACCCCTCCAGGCCCGAGTGGGTGACTAACAATGGTGGAGTCTGAACCAGGCCATTCTTGACAGATAAACTTTACAAAACACACATTCACGCTTTATTTCACGTGTATGAATCAAGTGAAAGTTCAGTGTTTCTGGCCTCTCGTATTATTTCTGTGCTAGTAGCTGTTTGAGCAAAGTTTTTCTTCTAGCAACAGTAGCTATGTTGATGTCAAATACAGAGTAACTTTTTTTTAAGTTTCCTTTCACCATGGAAATAGTAATATGCTTATATTTTATATATATAAAATAATCTGATGCTGCATAATTTAGAGAAGCTTTGGGGCTAAAAAGGTATTTTGGATAACAGTTAATATATGACTTCCTGCAAGTCTGAACAAACACATTCTGTGGGAAGAAACCATTCAAAACCACCTTACTTTTTATCATGAAAGCACTGTATTTGTGTGCTTTGGGTGAAGTGTTTGGGTGGAACTCTAGAGAGGGCACACAGGGCAAAGGAATTCAGTGTTGAAGTGTTTGAACTTTCACCTTCTTAAGTGCACCATACTTCAAATTATTTCCTCTCCACATCCAACTCCCTCAACCCCAGGACACCAAATATTAATGTCTTGTTAAGATCTGTGACAGTTGCATTTTGAATAAACTGATGCAAGCATGTTGACACTGGAGAACACTGTACTCCGTAACTCAGAGGAGGATGTAATCAGGTCTTGGTCCCTTAGTACCAGTGCCCTGCACACAGGACTCAGACTGTAAGGGGACACACTGGCAAGATGTTGCTACCTGAAGCCTGGCATTTAATTCTTGCAGAATAAATTAATTACAAAAACAGACAACAGCAAACTCAAAATTTGAGTTTAACATGCACTCAAAAGGAAGCCTAGTATTATTTCCTGATTAACTGAAATTGGATGACAAACATCCACTGTTCACTGTTGTTGGAGGGAATCACTGGAACTGGCAGAGGATGCCAGTCTGGTGAGAATTCAGGACTATCTGGACCTATACAGAAGAGTCAATCAGAAACCAAATCTGAAGTCTGAAAGAGAACTTGAAAAGAGTCTGGCAACAGAGATGCTGGGTTTAAGCATCTTTCTCTGAAGTATCTCAGATTGGTCACTAACAGTGACAAAGCATGAAACTAGACAGATCAGGTATTTGATCCGCTAATAGCAGAGATTAAGAAAACAGCAAAAAATTCACATGGAATTATGAGAGAGCAGAACTGACTTGCTCTCCAGTTGAAAATCAAGTGGGTGAGATGAGCTGTGTTACAGCTAATAGTGCAAAGAGAAACTGTGGGAATACTCTGGGGATATTTTAAGAAAAGGAGGAGGGTGAGAAAATGCGATTTGAACACCTCAAGGGCATCTATGAACTCTCTCAGAGAATTCCTCAACAAAGGACCCCAATGATTTATAAAGTAATCTGTAACTCTTACATAGAAAAAAGGAAAGAAAACGCATGGGGAGAAACTTAGAAAAAAAAGGGGAGTGTGCAAAAAGCAAAAAAAAGTGACACTCACCTCAAGCCTCTTTTCAAGAGACTCTATCCTGTCTTTTTTGCTGGCCAAGTTAGCTCTTGTGTAGCGACTCTGTCCAGGCAGGTATAACACTTGACTGTAACATTCTTCCCACACCTGGTTATAAGCTTCACTTGAGAGCTCTCCGTGCCCCATTCCTTGCTTTACCACTTCCATCTCTTGTGCCAGTAGATCCTGTGCCTGTTGGAAATTATGAGAAATAAACCAGTTACAATACAAAAGATAACAGAAAATTCCTCTTCAGTGTGCAATTTACGGGGGCAGTTTCTTTTTTCATACTAAAAGCTCACCATCAGGTTAAGCTAACTATGAAATCTAACACAGATGCTGTGGATTATAAACGAAACCCAGGCTAGAAGGCTATTCACAGTACAACTATCCGTCATTTTATATAATTTGGCCAAACCTGACATCACACTGCTGTAGCTAATGAACCCTGTGGCACAGCTAGATCCTTCATCCTGCGGCAGAAGAGATAAAAGCAAAGATCTTTAGGGGAGGGAGAACTCTACAGGCAGAAGCAGCTGTTCTATGAAACAAATATTACTTCTCATTTCCTTCTCCTTGCCCTTTTCTACAGAACCTGGAAAATCAACTTCAAACATAATGGAGCTGTATAAGCTCCTTTGCAAGAAATATCTGACTTTAACACAGATTATGTGTCTGAAGAACTACTAATGAGATGAGCATTCTGCAGTTTCCAGTTTAGTTTACAAAAGTAACTTACAGTCAAATGAAAAGATTCATGTTGTTCTCATAACCTTTAAGATTTCTGAGAAAGAGCCTGGCTCATGAAACTACAGAAACACCCAATCTGGACTTCATGCATTATAAATGCAGTCCTCTCTTTCAACAGCATTTACATGTGCATTACAAATTCTCATATCAAGCAATTCAGGTATCACCAGATAAGAAGATTCCAGAGATATGAAAGGAAAATAAATTAGTTGTCCCTGATGGTGGAGACAAAATAGGAGTTCTCTAACCACACTTGACAGAGATGAATCTTGGAAAGGTTCACTTTCAATCAGCTTCTATTTGTACCCTGCGAGGAACTACTTAAGGCTATTTAATTGTGGCACCACAACTGTTCTATAGCTCTAACAGCTCAGTACACTGTGCTCAGCAACACTGCTAATCCTTTTGAAACAAGCACTACGTATCAGAAAAGAAAGGAGCACCTTATTAAAGGATTTTAGTGGGAAGATGTTCTACAAATAAATGAAGAAGTAAAGCAAAATAAGCAAGCCGCAGACAAGAGCTTGAAGACAGGAAAGCTTTCTGGCTTTAATTTGATTTTAGACAAAGAGAAAATATTACGCTGAAAGTTAGAGAGCAAGCAGGAGCAAGGATGCAAAAAACTTCTGCCCATCAGGCAGAGATTCTGAAGAAAGTTTCCATATAAAAACTACTGGACTGTGTAATAGTCTTCAAGGGAAGTGATAGAAAACGCAACTCTCGTTGCACTTCAAAACAAGCAGAGAAAACACTCAGAGAATGCTCCTAAGGGAACAATTTGACACTGGCAGGACAGTGAAATTCATGATCTAACCGTATCTTCCATCTTTAACTTCTCCTGCTCAGAAATCTTCAAGTATAATTTTCCATTTAACAGCAAACTGCAAGTACATACTGTTCAGTGTTTCTCATTTCAGGCTCTTGATTCCTTGGTCTGATATGGTCAGACTTGAAATCTGCTTGTATATCTTTACAGTACTACAGGATTTAGGTGTACAGGTACCACAGCTATTGTCAGAACCCAAGTCTTGGATAGCAGGAGTCTGCATGAAATAGATAACTTGGTGGCACATGATTCTGTCCTTTTCATTTTTATTCTTGTAAGCATACGGTCAAAGGTTACTGGCACAACTTCACAGGTGAAACTCTTTGAAAGAGCTAAGCACAGCACCGTGCGTCTGAACTGTCCATCTGTCACTTGGCAGCAAAAGGCAACATCTGTAGCTGCTTAAATAAATGAACAACCCAAACCAGAACCGTTGGTGCAGGACTGCTATTTAACTCAGCATTACAATGCTAAACAGACTGAGTGCCCAGGCAGCCTACTCATTTCATTCAGCAAAAACCTATTCCCCCTATTCAGCGCTTTTTAACCAGGTATGCTCTAAGATCAGTTGCCGTAACCCAGCAGGCTCTGCACTAGCACAGATCTGTTGGATCAAGCTTGACAAGCACAATTAAACAACTGGTTTTGCTGCTTCAAGTTATAAACTGGCTATCACTGCCATATTTAGCTTGCACTGAAAAAAAAAATGCTTAGGAATTCTGGATTAACAAACTACATAGGAAGCAGAAGGTGAGCATCGCACTTAGGTAAAGTCTCAATTATTTAGTAATTATTAATAATGGCTTTAATAATTTCCAGGAATAGTAAAGTAAACTGGGTAACTGTTGGGGCATTATAGCTCCTACCCTTACTTAAAATGACCAGCAAGCACACAACACATCCAAAACTGTATCGAAAAGACAATGTCTCTGGACAAATACAGCATCCTCATCACTGTTAAGTGCCTAGATTAACAGAAGATCACAGAAAAGAGAATGTGCACTTAAATTATCCTTACAGCTCTTCATACAATACTCTGGAGATCTCCAACTTAAGTTCTGTGCAGGCTCACCTGTTTTTGCAAGATTACAGGACCATGACGTAAGAAGACACTAGGTCACTGGTAATTAGGCCATAAAATTCTCACCTTCTTGAGGTCCTCTTTGGAGAACTTCTCATAAGGATTTTGTTCCAAGTAAGCCATATGTTCTGCATTGTTGCTTCCAAATCCCGGGCCTTTCCCCTTCTTACCACTAGGCTGCTCTCCAAATGGGTGGTGTAAAAGATCAAAATGAAGCATAGTAATCATTTCTTTCTTTATTAGCTCTTCACTTTTCTGCAAGTCTGTTAGAGGTGGTTCCACATTTAAGGGTCTCAATATTGTTTCATTAACCTGCCCAGGAATAAAAAAAGTTCAAAAATATCATATACACCAAAGATCACATTAAATTCATACACCTCCACCTGAATAAGAATTTTATATACGAGCTAATCCATGCAGAAGAGGTGCTAAAATCCCTTGCAGTGTGACACACATACAGCAACCCAAACACCCAACTGCGGTTTCATTTGTGCATATGAAATACCTCAGACAATTCTGCTGCGAAAGTTTCCCATAAAGCTGAAATCAGCATAATCAGATAGAGGTTTCATTTTCTCACGATCTGCTCAGATTGTATTTCCTCCTGTAATGGTTAAAACCTCTGTATTTTTCTCTCCTTAAAAGTAAATTTTGTTTCCACTTACTTCAGAAGGCCGTGGTAGATTCTTCTGAACAGCTTTGTGCATTCTCTTCAGTTCTTTTGCACGTTCTGCCTCTCGGAGAGCCTAGACAAACAAGCTAAATGTTAATCCAGCTACTGGAGTACAATCAGATGCTTCCTAGAAATATACGGGATATAAAAACTAATTACCACAGCAAAGATTCCTTAAAGACTTCATGTTATAAAGCCAGAGCTAAATAATGTGATGACATCATAATTCAGTGCCTCTAAACAGGAAGGGCATAGCAGACTAAGAGGAGAGAGATCCTAAAAAGTAATTTCCAGCCACCACATTCTCCTTCATCCTCAAGCCCAGCAGACTTCATTCTTTACAGATTTCTCCACCACCAGGTTTGACAGCTGCTTGAACTCTCCAGACACAAAATCCACCAGGAAAAGACATACTGTTAAATTTGCAGCCAGGGTTGTGTTTGTTCTCTTCAATGACTTGGAGTAACTGTTCACTAAAGCAGTACTCGTGAAAGTGTAAAAACGTAAGATTTCTCCTTATACTCAATTTTCAGTCAATAATTAACATGAAAAGGCAGTGCCACCTAAAACTTCAGGAAAAATCATGAAATCATAGAATAGTTAGGGTTGGAAAGGACCTTAAGATCATCAAGTTCCAACCCCCTTGCCACGGGCAGGGACACCTCACTCTAAACCATATTACCCAAGGCCTCGACCAACCTGGCCTTGAACACTGCCAGGGATGGAGCATTCACAATCTCCTTGGGCAACCCATTCCAGTGCCTCACCACCCTCACAGGAAAGAGTTTCCTCCTTATATCCAATCTAAACTTCCCCTGTTTAAGTTTTAACCCATTACCCCTTGTCCTACCACTACAGTCCCTAATGAAGAGTCCATCCCCAGCATCCCTATATGCCCCCTTCAGATACTGGAAGGCTGCTATGAGGTCTCCATGCAGCCTTCTCTTCTCCAGGCTGAACAGTCCTAACTTTCTCATCCGATCTTCATATGAGAGGTGCTCCAGTCCCCTGATCATCCTCGTGGCCCTCCTCTGGACTTGCTCCAACAGACCCATGTCCTTTTTATGTTGAGGACACCAGAACTGCACACAGTACTCCAAGTGAGGTCTCATGAGAGCAGAACAAAGGGGCAGGATCCTCCATGTTCTAATTCCAGACATGTCAAACCTTCATTTGAAGGGCAGGATGCTGTTCTCTTGCATGATATTACAACTTGAATTCTTTATTCTACATACATAAATTATCCATATTTATTCAAACTTTTTATTATTAAGGTATGTATGCACAAGACATGCATATATATGCACATAATGTGATCTTCCCCAATCAGGACAAGCTAGAAACCAAACTCTGGGAAATGCTTAGCAGGTATCAAAGCATAGGATTTTATTATTTTTTTTTATTTTGTTAACTTGCCAAGTACATTGGTTGGCAAAAACCCCTCTGAACTAAAAAATAGCCATTTATTTGAATTTACTTGAAGGCATATAACAAAATTAGATTTGTATCACAAAAATTAGGATAAGTAGTAAATGGAAAATACACTGTTCTTATAAACATAAAAATTTAAAGTGTCTCTAATTACGTGCCAGTGCAGCTATTTAACCTGCAGAATTTAAGGTATCACTTTATCAAGCCTTGATTGATTCTGAAAACAAAACAAAAGGGATCCATTCACGGCTCAGATGCCTGGTAATCCTTTGGTGCAAGTCATACAAAAGGAACTAATTCGCTGCCTGGAAGATTTATATCTGTGTGCTACCAGCCTGCTGAATTTGTATGTACCTATCTTACATTTCACAACCAGTAACTTTTAACTTGAGAGAATACAAAACTGAAAAAGAAGAAAAAAGGTACAACAGTAAAATTCTCATGTGCTTACAGTGAAGTTTGTGCCTCTGCAGAGAAATGCTTTTAATTATATTTTTATCTTTTGGGGGACAAATGCAGGACTTGGGCATAAACACTCACAACTTCATCATAAAAAATGACAAACGAAATGTGATATGTAACATTAACAAATTAAGAAAACAATTCAGAGAAAACTGATTTAGCCTATGTGTGTGTGTACACTGATGTCAGCAGAGAAAACAGGTACATTTTACTTTGTAGAAGCTGTACCACTTCCACTGAACAGGTATGAAACTATGGGGACCATACAAGAAACATTTTATTATAAACCACAGGCACTATCTGTCTCACATACACCAACCTGCTTGCGGGCATCTATATCAGCAGTGTCCTCTACAAAGGTTTCATCTATTTCATGTTCCTCAAGTTCCTTTTCCGCATTTTCAGGTAAAACAATCTCAAAGTCATTCTTTGGAGCAGGAAGGGCCATGAGTCCAAGGCGCAAGTGTTCACGAGACTCTCTCTCCTGTTGAAATAAACAGTAAGATATAATGCTTCTCGATTCATGTGTTAAGGTGCAATTCAATAACATTCCTTTCATATCCATTAATAGACATGAACAATACACAGCTGATATAATCCAGCCATCTTTGTTGCTACAAAGTCAACAGAAACAAGATCTTTGAAGTCTGACAAGAGGCATGTTACTAATTCAGCCTAGCTACAGACCACCATACCAGAGTTCATGCACTTTTCATCACAGAAACTCTTTGATACTAAAAAAAACATTAGACAGATTTCTTAAAGATAGCTAATGAAGTCTTCAAACAGGCTGAAATACACTCAAGTAAAACAACAGCACAGCACCTTTGCCTCACAGTAGCTTCAGTACAACAGCAGAAACTCACATGAACACTTTCCAAGAAACTGAAAATATGTGGAAATGTGATGATGGACACAAAGGTATCTGCAAGCCTAACGGGAACTTTCTTCCTTGCAGTTGCTCCCAAATCTGGGGAATGTTTGCCTCATTTTCGTACTCTGCCACAATACCAAATCTGGGAACCAGTGGACTCCATCAGGGAACTGAAGGCCCAGTTTTTCTTCTAGCAGCAAAAAGCCTTTTTACTATAAAAAGGCTAAGACAGAACCAAAGTAAGTAAACAGACAACAAATAATCCTTGTCCTGCAAGCTAGGAGGAAATCTGAAATTCTGAACTTGAAGAGCTGTTTTCGTGAGCAGAACGTGCCAAACACTTGAAGTGGATATCCTTAGCTAGCCCAAGAAGAAAAATGTCAATAGCTCTGGTGGGAGATATCCAAAGCCGCAGTTAAGGCTGCAGAATCAGCCACATAAAAGGAGTTCCCAAGGTGCTACCTATTAGGTATATGCCGTTTTATACCATGGCTAATTGGCAGGGTACATCTGGCTCACTCTCCCAAGAATAGAAACATCTGTTGAAAAGGTGATGAAAGAATCTGGATGGGACTCAGATTACTGGACATCTCAAAACCAAGTGCTCCTAATGGCAAAAATTAAACTCCTTTAGCTCAATGCTGTCAACACGACAGACTGTTGAAAAGGTCCTGTAGCTAAACTGGGAAGCCAAGATGATGAGGGATTTGAGGGCTGTGTGGAATAGAAAGAAAAATGAATCTTTGATTGATATATTTCCTGCTCAGCTTCAAAGATACAAGTAGGACTGAAACTTAAGCATGTCTTCCTTGACAAACAGCTTGAGCGTGCTTTCACTGAGCACACTGAAATCCATTCTAAGTGGCAAGATTTCTGTTCTTTCAAATAAAGATTTGATTTTATCAGGTGATGAGTACAGACTTGCAGACAAGTGGTAGAAATAACACTTGCTTTTTTCCCTTCTTAAGTGCTTCTTACCATTTGTTTTGCATAAGATGGGTCACTGTAATCTGCCATTCCTTCTTCTGGGTTGATGTTCAGTTTATCACGTAGTGGAGTTCTACCAGGAGTTGTACCAAGCACAGGTTTAGGAGTTAGCCCTCCACGAGGAGTTAAGCCTTCTTGTCCATGAGGTGTCCTAGAGGAAATGCAGATACAGATAATTATTTTTTCCCTAAAGAGCTCTACTTATCAAAGTCTGAATGCTGGATAAAGTTACGTATATACCATAAATACATTCAATCTAGATTTTTTTTCTTGGGAGGTAGTAAAACTGTAACATGCAATTAGAAGAATCCAAAAAAATAAATTATTTAAACCTGTCAAGGTGTGACCAAGGACCTGTCAGACTGAAATCCAGACACATCATTATGTGAAGAGACATTTCAGGAACTACATCAACACAAACTGCTACTGCTATGTTTCAAAGAAGAAACTATCCAGTCACCAGGCACTAATTTGGCATACAGTAACCAGAATGTGATTGCAAGCTCTGATTTCCTTACCACCTGTGGCAAGTCATTCACTCTGAATTCATCTGGCCTAGCAGCTGTCCCAGCTTAGAATTCAATTAATCACTCTAAAGATGCCTCTCTGCTTTCATTGATTATCCAAAGAGTAATTACATTACAATAATTAAAGAACCTAAGGTTAGGCAAGTTAGATTAAGCCTTAGTTTTTGTGGGGCTCAGTTGCTTTTCTTCTAGACTGGGAAGAAATTCTGTTCTCTGTCCCAATAACCTACTATATGAAAATCTTGCAGACATGGTTTTGGATATAGTAAAAAGTTTTCTGTTGCCAGCTTACAACGAGGTTTCACATACTGATGATGATGGTAGTACCAATGAACTGGTAAGATATTGTTAACTGTCTCAAACAAAATAAGTTCAGGATGGGGAAAACTTTTAGAAAAAAGCCTACACTGTGGTACTCACCTGTGTTTACGTGATTATTTTCAGACAGTAATGACAAGTACATGTACTGTAGAGAATCATGCTGGCAGAGACAGCTGGACCAGGCGATTTAATACATAATTTCCACCACTAGATATTGTAATTCTGTAGTGCAAGGAAGATACCATAATGGTGGACAAACACAACTGGCTTGACACACATTACTGGTCCTCTTCTAAACGATACAACAGCACCCTATTTACTGGGTATGTGTTTGAGAGGCAAGTGATACCATCCTCTTGCTTGACATTGTTCACAGATGTTTTAATGAACTCTCATTTAGGATAACAAATAGAAGCAATAGCCTTTGCAGGATGACACCCACAAAAACCCAGCAAAATGAATGTTTCGTAGAATATACTGAGATTTACTGCAAGGCGGTGGGACAGTGACCCAAGTTGCCCTGAGAAGCTGTGGGCGCCCCATCCCTGGAAGTGTTTTAAGGCCAAGTTGGATGGGGCTTGGAGCAACCTGGTCTAGTGGAAGGTGTCCCTGCCAATGGCAGAAGGGCCGGAACTAGGTGATCCTCAAGGTCTCTTCCACCCAAAACCATTCTATGATTCTATGATATATTTATTTTGTTGTTTATACTAGCAGAAAAATTTTACACTGACTTTCCAGAAGAAACAATTTCAAAGTGAGTGGGTTATTTCTTCTAGTTGTCTCAGTTCCATATAGTGTTTAAAACCCTATTACAATTTTCAACTTCACAGCTTTTAAGAAAATTCTTATAACTAGGAAGTGGAAAAAAGAAAACAAACCCACAACAACCAAAACAAAACACCCAATGCAAGGGAACAACTTCCATAAAAACCTTGCATCAAAACATTATAAATTTCATACGACCAGAGGAGAAAAAGGTGTATTTAGATTAAATACTACAAATGACTCTGCTTCACTACTCTGCCTCCTTAAAAAGTTATGGCTTCCCTTTATTTATTTTTTTAGAACTTTATGAATTTATTTTGTTCTTTCTGCTCAGTCTTGGATATTCACGCTGATAAAGCATTTCTGCAAGCAAGCTAAGTTGATACATAGGTACCACATTTACATGTGCAAATCTGAACTTCAAAAGCTAAAAAACCCACCACAAACAAAACACCCCAACACCCAAACAAAATTAGAATGTTTTTACATTTTTTAATATAAAATCACTCAAATAACAGCCAGATCACTCCAGGTCAAACTCTACATTCATTCTGCACTGAACTAATGTTAATAGATCTCCAGAAAGGTATTTGTTCATGTAGATCCAATGAAAAGATCAGGGCTTTTGCACACAGCTTTAAAACACCAAAATAAAGCTTCTTTTGAAAGCCTGACATAAAGGCTTTTTTTATTCTTTTCTCCACTTTTCTACTAGCATGATAAAAGTAAAATTAGAACTTAAGTGGAAAAAAATTGACAGACAAAATGCACAAAGTGTAGTATTTGGTAGCAGTTGCACAGTATTTGGCATTTGTTGGATACAAACTTATTCAGGACCCACTGCAATAGTTAAACCAGCAATTCCATGCTATTTAGACTTGCAATATTAGAAATATCTTATTTTGCATATATACGGCTTATAAAATATTTACTCCAGCTTTAAAAAAACTTGGTGTGGGTTTGGCTAAGGGACCTCCTACACTTTTGACTCAGAGGTAATACTTCGGAAAGGTCAGGATCCACATACAGGCTGACACTCTATCTTACTATTTATACCCCTGTATTAACTCCAGTATAATTTATATCGCTACAGAGCACAGAAGGCCTCATTTTTGGACAAAAACTCCAGTGAGCTATAGACTTTACAAATACAGCCAATGATGTGGCACAGCTTGCAAAAGACACAGAGAAGGAGAAAGGTGTACAACAAGGGCCTGAAATAAAAAAGTGAGTTAAAACTTGTTTCAAAGCACTGATCATGACCTATTATTTCACATGTTGAAATCCACTCTGCTCACCCATCTCCAATAGATACGTGCCCATCCCAGTGCCCATTAGAAAAGGAGTCTGCTTTACCTGAAGGGTGTGGAAAGCACAGTATTTGGAGTTTGGATAACCTGTTTCTGCGGTGTTACCCCTGAAAAGTCACTTTCATGCAAGGGAGTGTTAAGTCCTCCTTTCAGGGGGGTATCCACATTTGTGAGAGCCATCAGATTCTGGGCTTCCTGTAAAACAGACAATACACGCAGTACATCACTAAGACTTTTCATTGTCACACTCTACCCTGTATAACAGATTCACTAGCAGTAAAAACAACTGAAGAATTATTTAAATATCAGTGAGTTTGTGGGAAACATTTAACACTTAACACTCATACACTGGTATTTACAAACCCGACTGTTCCACTGAGAGGGATTTTAAACTTTATTTCCAGCAGAATATCTTATCAATTGCAAAAATGAGTGGGTTACTTAATGTTTCAGCTTCCTTCAGTTTGCCAGACTCCATAAATTTGCAAAATTTATTAGTGAGTGAATACTCAAGTCATCCCAAGGATCTCAATTTTCAGAGAGCAGCACACTTGCACTCTGAAATGCAACATCAATGAAGTTTATCCAAGCTGTACTTTAAAGGGAATGTTCCAGCAGAGAGGGTCACTATCCAGAGTTTTTGTTCATGATTCATCTGGGCTTTTTAGGAATACCCCCTATTTTTTCTTTTTCCTTCTACAGTGAAGAATTAGGCCACTGAAAATGAGCTGACACAATGAAACTACTGCATATAGCCATTATCTTCACAGAAGACTACCACTGCAACTGCTGACCTGTGTATATACATAATACTGCAACATACATGATGTGAGATTACTCCATCTGAAGGTGAATGTGACCCCTCCTGCAAACACTGCATAGAGACTTAAGTCATGACCTGCAGAGTCAGGAACTTTCTCTTTTCTACTATCATGAAACTGTTAAAATACAGCTAATTATCAATACGGGTTGGGGAGTTTTGTTTCAGGGTGGGTTTTCTGGGGTGGAGTTTTGTTCGTTTTGCACACTAGCAACACTGATTTTATTTAGCCATGTCCCCACACTCAGCAAAACACTACCCAACACTACCAGGTTTTGAAAGAACCCAGACACTCATACAATCAGTATAACACAAATATAACTTGCAGGTTTTTGACCACCTTTCTCTTCAGTGGTTTTAAGCCAATAAAGTGTTAGAAAACTATTCTGTATTGTTGCAGTTAATTACTTCTTGTTAACTGAACCAGAAACTGAACAGCAAAACATAATTAGGAACAACATAAAAGACTGCTTTAAGGACATCTACATGATATACATCTTCAATGCTGAGAGGAACCCAATACTAGAGGAAATTATCAAAAAACACCAGGAGAATGGTTAATGCTAGAAGTTGCCCACAGTATGTAATACAAAAAAAAAAATCAAAAAAAATCACAGTATTCAACAGATAGAAGTGTGCCCTGGAGATCACATGTCTGTTCAAACCCGAGTACCACACACAACCTAACGAATGTTTATGATACTTACACCTTCAGTTAGACCACTTCATTAAAAATACAAGACCATAGAGTAAACTTAAGTTAGACATTAGGAAGAAGTTCTTTACTGTGAGGAGCTGGAACAGGCTGCCTCATCCACGGCAATGTTGAAGAGCAGGTTGGATGGGGCTTTGAGCAACACAGTCTGGTGGAAGGTCTCCCTGCCCGTGGCAGAGGGGTTAAATTAGATGGTCTTTAAGGTCTCTTCCAACCCAAACCATTCTGTAATTCTATGATTCTGATTTTATACATTTATACTCTACCTGCAGGATCCTGTCTTGCGCTGCAGGAGTTCTGGGAGTCCTTAGTGCTATGTTGTTGTTGGTCACACTATATTCAGAGAGAAGAGTGCTGGAAGCTGAATTTGTAATTCCAGATTCCTCAGCAGTTTGGCGTGCAATCTCACTCGCCTGGCCTACTTTCACGACTTCTTCAAGTTCTGTATCAGATATCTTTAAAAGAGAAAATCCTAAGTCATAGTAAAATAAAATACAACCACGAGATCCACTTGATAAAACAGAACTCGTTGACTGGCACTGGTCTTTTAAGTCATTTATTGATCAATGAACAGCTTACCTGAGGAGCTGGAAGCACCAGCTTACTTCTTTTTTTGGTAAATTCTGACACTCCACTGGTCTGTAGAATAGCTGAAGGTAAGTCTGACTCTTTTTTTCGTTTCATATGTTGTTTGTCTTTTTTGCGCTCTCTTCCCTCCCTTTCACTGTCATTACAGATAACAGAATCGTTTTAGAACATTCAGAACAGCTACAAAGTAAATCAAACAATCAGTGAGCAAAAATGCTGCATGTTATCTAAAATGCTGTATGTTAACTATCAAAAGTTGAATATGTTGAAATTAAACATGTTGCAGGAAGAGTGAACCACCTTGTGGAGCAGAAGTGATTAAATATGGTCTACAGATCTTGCAGCAGAACCTACAAGGCAGTGTAATGCTTCTAAATTCTGGAATTAGGCAACAGGTGGTTGCTTCAGCTACAATCAACAGCATCACTGGAACAAGAAAAAAATGTCAATACAAAAATGTAGATAGCAATAATCAGAGGATGTGAACAGTCCCTTTTCTTCAGCAGCAGCTAAGGGAAGACAAACATCTTCTGTGGGATATGGGAACCAGCTTCTCTTCAATATTTAATAAAAATGGTATTTTCTTCAAACAGCAGTATGTGAAATCATAAGCTTCAGTATGAAGGTCCTGCCAGCCCCTCTGAACTAAGAGCCATACAGAAAGAATCGATCTCATCACAAGCTAATGAACCAAATCATATATAGTACTGGACCTACTCTCTCAGTAAAAAGCAGTTGGCAGAAGTAGTGCGAAATGCAATTGTATAATTAAACATGTAACATGCTGATCATGATGAAGATGGGCATCTTATTTCTCAGCTGCATTTTTTGTGGAGGGAGAGAAATTAACCATTTCAGGAAATTCTACTTAAGAATGATTCCATCAGAAGTAATACCACAACAAGCAACATCTGCTCCTGTAAGCAATCTTATTAATGTTATTACTTGAAGAAAGGACTGCAAAGCTACTGCTTACAGAAAATGAACCTCGAAAAAAATCCTAAGATTTCCATTTAAAGAGCAAGAACGTGCATGAGAAACTTTATTCTCATGGATACAAAGGGTCAACTAGGCCTTTTAGAATGATAAAAAGTAAAGACGACTGAAAAGGTAAAAGGAACCCTTCTGTCCTACAGAAAATACAACTCCTGCCCATATTATACTTCAGGCATTTTCAGGACCTAACGTATCTGTATATGTACATATATGTGTACACACACACACACACACATACATATATGAAGTTGGGTTTTTTTTTTTCCAATAAACTATTTTCTCCTTAGTATAATGCACACTTACGATCTTAATTCTCCATCCAGGTCTTGCTGACGTAGCTTTCTGAAATCTGCATCCAGAGACTGGTAGTTTTCCTCTGATGTGTCATAAAAGCCAGGGGCAGGCTTCTTTTCAAATGGAATTTCTGCATTATAATCCACACCTCTCTTCTTTTTTCTTTTCTTCTGAATTTCAATTCCAGCAGCCCGAAGTTCTCGTCTTTTCTGGAGAGCAGCAAGCCGTCTATAGAAACAGAAACACCATGTGATTTAAAGCGCATACCATAGCTGTATCCTGTATCCTAAGATCTGGTACGACTTTAACAGATTGCTGCTGAGATAGGGCTACATGTATTTCCACAAGAATGAAGCTATTGTAGCAAATAACAAAATATATCTGATCCTGCAATGGCTTAAGGCTGTGACTGACTTTATGTACTGTAAATGCTCCAGAGACAGCAAAAGCAGTCCCAATATATAAAACTAAGTTTACCTAGCTTCCTCCAGCTGCTTCTCTCTTGCTTTCCTTTTGGCCTTCTTTCCCTGTGTATTAGCCAGACGAGCTCTAGCTTCAGACAGCATTTCAAGTTCATCTAAAATAGTACAAACAAATACGAGGAGTAAGGGAAAAAATTACATTAAGATCAGAAAGCAATCTTCAAAAACTGAATCAGTGCTTTTACAGGCACTCCGAATGACTGGTCTGCCCAAGGAAGTTGTGAATGCTCCATCCCTGGTGGTGTTCCAAGGCGAGGTTGGACAAAGCCTTGAGTGACACAGCTTAGTGTGAGATGTCCCTGCTCATGGCAAGGGGATCAGAACTAGATGATCTTAAGGTCCTTTCCAACCCTAACTATTCTATGCTTCTATGACTGATAAACTAGTCTTCTCCAAGTTGCCCCAATATATTTTCTGAATCGTTGGAAAAATGAAATAAAGACTTCAAGAAAAAATGCCTTATGTTGAATATTATTCAACGTCTACAGCAAATCAAAATGTCTACATGAAGAGGCAAACTGACCACACCAATGAAATTATATTTCAATTACATCTTCATCTGAGAGGACTGTTGTGAGAGACCTTGTCAATTTCATTTATATCCAGATCCAAGACTGCTATGTATGTGACCCTGTGACTCTTGAAAACCACTGTTAGTCCATAAATGGAACTTTAGCAACATTCATTTTTTAGTTTACAACACTACTATGTGCAAGGAAAAAAACAGTCCTGTAGTCCTTCTGTGCTTCTGCATGGATTCACCTGGAAGGTATGAGCTTATGGGAAAAGATGAAGATACAGAAATAAGAATGGCAAACGAACAGAGCATTTGTAAAAGCAAAGAAGAGTCAGTCATGGTTAAGAGACGATGAAGACAACTTCAACAGCAGAAAACACACCAACGAAAAGGAAAATGGAAAAGTACAGCTGACTGGACAGATACACAAATAAGACAAGCCCTGTAAGAAAAAAATGATCTCAGGGTGGAGGAAAAAAATACAAGAGAAACCCAGGGTACAGAGGCTGTGTAAAAAGAAACAACGAAAAAGAGATCACATTTCTGTCGGAAATGGCAAACAAACTCCTTATCTTACCCTCATCCATGTCAATAGGATCTGGCCTGGCTGGTTTAGTTTCTGGATTTGGATCAATTTCTCCAGGTTTAAGTTTCCGAGGATCATCAGCAGTTTCTTCCTCATTGTCTCTTTGAGCAGCTTTGTCCCTAAAAATGCATTTTATGAATGTGACAACCAGCTCTTTGTTTCCCCCAGGCTCATAATAACCGTTAGGTCCCCAAAGACTGATCAAAAAAGGGTAACCTTGTACTACTTACCAAACATTAAGCTTGTTATACAACTACTGCAGAAAAAAGCATGAACGTGGTATAGTTACATAATCTTTAATCAGAAAGAAGACAACGTAGTATTACATTATAATATTGTATAAAACACAGTATTGATAAAGCTAATAGTAAAGAACTCTCCTCAAGCAGTGTGACAAAAAAAATAATTGAGTTTCCCATTATATATTACACTAAACCAATCACACCAGAATTAAGCAAGATCATGAGGGAAAAGAGCAGTTTCCTTCTCACAGCCGAAAGACACCCTCTGTAGCATACAGAGATGAGAAATGCACATTCAGTCATTTCAACAACATGTGGCTTATGTCTTTTTTTTCTTCTGTCACACACCCACACATGCTGATCAACCAGTCAAAAAAATACCCAAATAAACCTCAAATGTAAGCCCATAAAAAACATCAATCTTGACACTCCTCTAGCCAGAAGGACCAGAAGTAAGAAAATATACACCTATCCCTATTCAAGCCTGTTCTCTGGGTTCCAAAAGCTTCTTCTTTCAAGCCAGACATGCTGACTGAAAAGAAATGGTCCTTAAGGATTTGCTTACAAAAGCACTGTCAGGTTGAAACCATCAGCACCATGGTAGAAGGGAATGCCACACTGCTATAACAAACTCGACAGATTTTCTTGGTATGCACCTCTAGCAAAACAGTAACTCACAGAAGAAATTCATAGTGCTCCAAACACTGTGCAGCAGTTCTCCCAATAATTGGGGCAATGGTTCTCCACTGGGTTGGCATTAGCTTGGCCAGGTGCAAGAGTTTCTCCTCCTCTTCCCGTGACCACTCTGTCTTTTTGATGCTTGGGTCTAGCCATTCATACCTGTTAAAAAGAGAAAAAAAATCAGGATGACAGATCCAAGCCATCCATTGATTTGTCTTGAATTAATTCAGAACAGTGTCCACCCAAAAAACTACAATGAAATCTCAAAATCTTGTCACACAAACTTCATAGAAGCTTTGTCTGTGCAAGAGGATGTTACTCCAGAGTAACATTTAAGACAAATGTATTTGAGCTTTAAAGTGTATTGTCCATCAGTTTTTATACACATATTGCCTCTTCTTTCTTCCTACATCTCTAGTCTAGCAAAGTAAGGAGTCACAGAATCCAGAAAAACAAAAGTAAAAAACTGCAGCAACTAAAGGTTCCATAAGTGGTAGATCTGTTTGGTCTGGATCCTTCAACAGTCATCTTACCAGTCTCAAACTCTGCCAGTACTGTTACTTTTATATACAAGTACTGTAATAAATATGTGAAACGCTGGCACATGTTGCCCACAGAAGCTGCAGCTGCGCCATCCTCAGCAGTGTTCAAGGCCAGGTTGGATAGGACTTGGAGCAACCTGGTTTAGTAGGTGTCCCTGCCCATGGCAGGGGGGCTGGAACGAGATGACCTTTTAGGTCTCTTCCAACCCAAACCATTCTGTGATTCTATCTGCAGTTCAACAGTCGAGAAACTAAGTCTAATTTTCAAACAGTTTGAATTAGTTTTACGCTTCTGTTTTTTTAATATGAAGTTAAATTCCACGGTGCAATATCTAAACATTTATCCTCAAGCCAAACTATTGTTATGAAAAATTAGGAAATTATCTTTAAGAGAGATTAATATCCTACAGTTTTACTTCCTTGGTGATTCTGATGAAAAATGTCCAAATAGACGGGGGAAAAAAGCATGTGTGAAATTTTAAGTGATCCTGCATTTGCTAACACTGCAGTCACTGGCAAAGAGAACATTTGGCTATTTTTGTTCAATTACTTCTAAACAACAGGAATCTGAAATATCCACAAGAGCAGAAATCAAAACTATTGTTGCTTCATGGACATAAATTTATCTGTGGTAATTTCTCAATTCCCACTAATTATAAATCTCTCATTCCCAGTCATAGCACTTCTCACTTACCATCTGGCTTTGCACTGCTTTGCTGATTTTCTATGCAATAAAGATGCAATACGAGACCACTGGTTTTTGCCATATTTCATCACAGCTGCTTTCAAAATTTCATCCTTAAAAAACATAATAAAAAATTTGTTACAGATCACAAGAAATTGCAAACCAGAAAGTCTGAGCTCAAGCAGAGAAGATTGCCGCGGCTGTCATCCAACAGGCTGACCCAGTTCTTATCCACATTTTATTCTCAAGATGAATGAGGATTTGTATTTCACAGACCAATTAAATTAATAAAGATTACATGAAAAAGACACATGATGATGATTGTGGCCAGCTTTACAGACCCAACAGATCTTCCAAAACAATGGCTTTCAATGCTCTCTAATGCTCAGTTTTCAAAGGTTCTGTACGTCTTCCCTGTAGGACAGCAATAAAGAGGTAGGGAAGTGCTTCTCTGGCAATGACACAACATTTTGAAAGAAAAATACAGAACTAACAGTTACCTCTGGGTGGCTTTTTTCAAACAATACCATAAAATTATAACCTTTTTGCATATTTTAATGCAAATGGAATATTTACCTATTAATGAAATATGCTGTTAAAAAGATAATACTACTTGATAGCAAATTTCTCTTGTACATGTAAACATCTTAAAATAAATCACTTGAATGTTCAGAATGTAACATTCAGAAGTTCTGATCCCAAAGCCTATAAACTTGGGGGGTGGGGGGGGTGGGGGGGGGAGTAAAAATGTAAATGATTCAGCTTGGGAGCCAGATGGTTCATACACACCAAAGAGCGCATTGAGATTTGATCAAAAGCTAGAAGCCCTATCATTTGTCTGTCAGTGCATCTACCAGTCTCTCCCCTTCTGTCACTCTGATAAATGGGTTCATTATTTCTGGTTTCCTCACAGGTCAGAAAATGGTACTTTAAATGAATCAAAGCTACTCTGAAGCCTTCTCAAGCACAGTGTTCCTCTTCTGTATCCAGTAAGTACTTGTAGCTGTGATCAGAATCCGTTCAGCTGTACCATGCAGATGCTAGTCATCACAGGCAGATACTGTGGCCCAGCACAGACATCTCTCGGAGCATACAGCAACTTTATCTGTAAGATGATGATGAGCTCTGGTGTGAACTACTACAGGAAGCAATTAATATAATTTCTATTAAAAAATAATGATAAATCCTCTTAGGCTTAGGTTCTTTTTTTTTTTATTTACTTGGTGCTATGTAGCATACAGTAGCCATACCGATGACATTAGCAGGTGTTTTTTCAAGAAATGAGTCATTTTACAAATTACCTGATATCAACTGGTTACACTTTCTATATTTTTAGTCTTGTATGTATAATCAAAATGTTAATTAAAAAAATATAATATAGTACCAAAAGAGCAATTTCATCTCTGGTACACAAAAGCAGCAAAACAATGATGTGGTTAACACACTGCTGTATCTCTTAACAGTCACCAAAATAAGTTAATTTTGGAAGACCATAAGAATGGTGTCAGCATACAACAGTTCTTACTGTCCCCTGATGACCTCCAATTTAGCTGCCTCCTGACACACAGCTGCTAACATCACAAGTGGTTAAAAACACATACAGCACTCCGTACATTACTAAAGGCTAGACCGGATGGAGCTTTGAGCAACATGGGATAGTGGAAAGTGTCCCCGCCTATGACAGCGGGTTGGAACTAGATAAGATTTAAGGTCCCTTCCAACACATTCTGTGATCTATTATTTTTCTCACTGCTTTTTGGAACTAGGTACATGCCTAGTGTTCAGGGTATACTGTGGCAGTTCTGCACCTTAGTGTCAGGTAAAACCTTTTACTTTGAACATGCATCTAATAAAGCTGATATTCTTGACTTCCCACGTCATTATTTTCCTTTTCATGACCAACTGCAGTTTTGAAAGCACATGGTGGCAAAGGTGAGAGAAGGGTGTGGGTTTTTCTTTTCTTTGTGAACAACACATAGATTTGTGTGTACAACACACATCGGCCTGCAGACGAAGAGGTTGTACCCATCCTCATTCTCGCATCTGGCAGGGTCTTGGAAGGGCGAAACATTCCAGCTACCTCATACCCATAGAGACGATGAACCCTAACTGTACAGTACAAGACACACTGCAGCCTGCAAAAGGGGCATCTCCAAGGACAACCCGAACAACGCACTCCCTGCAGCTGCCGAGTGGTGGGGGAGGGAAGAGACACGACACACGCATGCCTGAGCTGCGTGTCCTCCCCAGCGCGCAGCCTTCAGGAGAAACAACATGGACCTGACGAGCGGGGGCAAGCAGGAAAGCAGGCTGCCGAGGAGCCAAGCCACCAGAGCAATGTGCCTGCAGACACCTAACCATCTAAATCCCCCCTCTCCAACCCGGAGACCCAGTATCTCCCGCAACTCCACGCTGTTACAGCACACATCAACAGACGAACGCCCGCGCATGCGCGTCACGATCCCTCCATCAGGGCATGCGCACTAATGCAGGACAGGCCGTCCCCCACAAGCCGCTCTCCCCCGGCATTAAAACGAGCAGAAACCTACCTCAGTGTTCCGCCACACACCGCCTTTTATCATAATCCGCGGCATCTTGGCGGCGAAGGGGCTGGCAGTGCTGCACAGACAAAGCAGCGAGGGAAAGGAACGGAACGCTACTCGCCCCACAGGAACCAGCCGACACTCCGCACAGGCGCCCTCCGCGGGGAAGCGTCGTTCTCTGCGCAAGCGCACAAGGGCGAAGGAAGCGGGGGAAGCTGGCTGCTCTGCGCATGCGTAGGAAGGGTGGACCTGTGCCTTCTCTGCTGGTGCAGTCTGGAAGCGCTTCGCTGCTAGCGCCCCCCTGCGGGCCGGAGGTGCGCACAGCGCGGGGGCAGCAAACATAAATGGGGAAGAGGAACATAAGTAGATGCTGCACTTCAGGTGCGTTTTCTTAATTTGAAAAAAATAAAAACCAACCCACATGCATTTTCTGCAGCCCAAATGGAAACTGAGAGCAGCATCCAGCGATGTAAAAAAACATGCTGTTATTCCCTTCCTTCCACTGTAGATACATCTGGGTGGTGGTGAACAATATAGCAGCATGGTCTGATTCACCTGTGCTCATTTACTTACTGTGCTTAACTGTTATCCACTTATTTAGTAGATGTATAGCAGATAAAATAACACCCATTTGCTCAAGTTCTCATTAAGTGTGATTTCCTGGTATATGTCATTGTTTTATCTAAATTCAAGGTGTGTCCATAAAGAAAATAAAGCAATTTCTTTTTCTGCTGAAATAGAAAACAGGATTTAGGAAAGGCTTCGAGTTTTGTTAAAACTCTGTAAGAATGAAAGATTATACTTTAAATTAGCAGTAATAAAAAAAAAAGTCAAGAACAGCCTATGTCCTTATTTAAAAAGGATTATGCGCTTACATTTAAATTTCTCCACCTTGGCAAGACTAAGAATCACTTTTCACCCCAAAAGTGCACTGCACTGCACAAGAACACAGAGGAACCTCAGAAGGCAAATATGTTATTTTTATTAGAGGCAACCACCTGGAACAATCATTTTTACAAACTTAACAAGCTCTATCTGAAAGTATCCCCTTTTGTTCTTTATTACAACTATAAGGAACTTATGCTGTTTACAAAGTCTTTAACTGGTATTGTACAATAAGGTAAAAATTCCTCCACACTTGTATAACTGTGAATATTTCTCAGAAATTCTTTTCTTTATTCATGTCAGGATAACGTTGGTCTTTCTTGCAACTGTATTAGGTGGTCAGCTCAGTCGTTCCAAGATCGGAATCACTCATTCTTGGCTTGTAGTAAAAACGTATGTAACCATTAGGGCTCAGAGTCATTGCTATTTACTTGTCTAGTGTACTACAAAGAACTAGATCATTTAAATAGCTTTGCTGATCTGGCCTTAACTACATGCTTCTATTCATGAAGTTTGATCCACACTTGGAAAATTGCATTCCAAATTAGTTAATGGAGTTAACCTGGTTCAAGGCCTGGTCCAGTGGGGCCACACAGTATTGGCTGCCCAGGCCCCCCTTCCAGGAGGCTTCCAAGGATATCTGAAGATAGGGACTCCACTACCTCTCAGCAACTACTTCCAACATGTCTTGTACATTACCAGAAAGCCTCTGCAAAATACTATCTGTATTTATAAAGAAAAACATACATTTGAGAGCACTAAAAACATAGTGGTAGCTTCATGTTTCCATTCTCTAAATTAAGCTGTAAATTTACTCTGCTGCTTCATGGACTAAACTGTAACATGAGGGGTGATTTGAACCAGTTCTCTGCTACTGCCTTTCCTTAGATACACCCCTGTTCTCAATACCACTGAACATGTTACAGGCAGTGATGTCCACACAGAGCTTCTTAGAACATGCAACTCTATAAAGCAATCAAAGATTCAACTATATTTGAATACAAAGTGGAAGAAGCATCCGTCTTCACCATGGTAACAACTGCTGTTCAGCAAAAGTGATCCTTATGCATGGTGCTGTAGATGCACAGGAAAGCTGTTTAACAAAATAAGTTTCATAGTTAAATATATTTCTAATTCTCAATATATCAGCAAGAGCTTAAATTAACAGAAGTTCTTTGAAAAGTATGGTATTGTCTATTTTAAGAAACAGCGTGCAGTAACTATCACCCTGAGAAAGGATGACGCATTTCATACTAGATTAACGTTACGTATCCACAAAAAATAGATCACTTTAAGGATTCCCAGTATCATAAAATACCTGATTAAGAACAATATCACCATTTCTGTCAAACTACTCAAAAGAATTATCAGAAGTACAGTCAAGATAATGGTTTAATCAACCTTTCATGTATACACACATACAGCAAACATAACCCTGTAATCAAGCGATGACACAATTCTTTTTTCTGTAATTTTGTGAGATACTTTTTTTTTTCTTGCAACACTTGCAAGAGAACCTGCAAGTAGTAAATGAAGCTTTCAGCAGATGGCAGACAGCACTAAGCCTTGAAACACAATGACAATTTTTAAATGCAAACCTTTTACTACAAAATATAATGTGATCTTCCTTTCCCCCTTTAAACATTCTTTCAGTTAGTAAAGTTTTGGGGGTCCTTTATCAAAAACAGGGGCACAGAATAACTGTTTTAAACTGATGGACATATAAGGTCATTATTGACTTCATAATCTTAAGTTACCCAGGCATAACAAAGCACCTCCAAGATCTTCTTTAACACAGCCTGTGCTAGAAATGGAGCCGTGGCAAGAACCTGGAGGAAGTCAGTACCTCAAGTTTCACCCTCTGGACCACACCACCAGACGCACCCATTACCAGTCATTGTTCTAGGGACACCAGAGGAATGTAAAGCAACGAACAAACTCAGGACATGCAAATCTTGCCATTGCATGTGCCAACTTGCAATTCCCGAGATTATATTTCAATCTCATGTTGCCGCTTATGCTATTCCAGAAGTTTTTTGGTAGGCAGCATCACATTACGCTTCCCACAGTTGTGCTTGCTTTTGTGTGTTTTTACATGCTTTTGGAAAGCACATTTATCAAACGTTGAAAATTCACACCTTCTGCAGTGCAACTTCAAATGAGTCACCAAGTGGCGCTTCAGGTGGCCTGATGTGCGGAAAGCGACAGCACACTGACTGCATTTGTATGGCTTCTCTCCTGTGTGAATCCTCATGTGTAGCTTCAGGTTTCCATTGCGGAGTGTGCAATAGCCACACTCCTTGCAAGTGTATGTTTTGACAGGTAGCTGCTTTTGTTCATAGAGACAGGCAGTAGATGAGCTTTCCTCATAAGAGTGTGAAGCCAGATGTCGTTTCAAGGACAGCCATTTGTTTGTGGTATAGTCACAGTTCCTGCACTTGAGATAATCTGAATTATAATGCATGACTCTGTGTCTTTTAAGGTGACTGGAAGTACGAAACTTCTTCTGACAAACACTGCAGCTGTAAGGTCTCTCACCTGTGTGAGTTCTTACATGCAGTTGAAGATTACTTAAAATATAAGTAGCATACTCACACTCTGAACACTGGTAGTATTGTGGCTGACTTTGTCCTAGCAAATCATTCCCTTCACCTGCCTGGATATCTGGCTGTAGTCCAGAGACTTCCGAACCAAGCAAGGAATGGACACTTTCTGAACCTTCCAAGGAACCAAAATCTCTTTCTGGACACATACCTTCAGGTGTGTCACGATGCCATTCAAAATCCTCTAAACAACTATCTACATAGAAGCAACGGCCAAACTCATATCCATTCTTTACATGAATTAGGCTGTGTTTCTGCAAATCATCTGCTGTTTTAAATGCCTTATTGCATTCTTCACATACAAACTGTCTTTCATTTGTATGTAATTTCAGGTGCAGGCTAAAGTTGCTATGAGCAGTGGTAGCATAACTGCAGTGTTGGCACCTGTATGTTTTGAATGCAGACAAACTGGAAGGCCACGTCACCTTTAGGTTTTCCATATATTTATGATATGCATCATCATCTTGAACTTGTGAATGAGAGGCCTTGGAGTTGAAGAGAGGCGCCACTTGCCAAGTGACAGCTTTCATACGGTGTGAATTCAGAGGAACTTCAGATCTATTCCCAACAGGTAAGCTGCTGCTTCCATGGCTGTTTTCAGAGAATTTCTTTGTAGAGTGCATTTTCTTATTGTCCCACACATTATCTTCCTGCCTGGAGTCTAGTGCTGAAGCCAGCATTCTCCCACCAAGACAATAATTTTCTTCACCACCAGAAAGAGACAGAGAAACAGTCTCCTGGGAACCACTGTCAGCTTGGCATAGTTTTCTTTTATGATAGTCATTGCTCTGATTCATATAACCATTAGCCTTAAACTGTTCATGAAATTTCTGATGAAAGCTGAGATGTTCTTTAGTGTAAAACACCACGTTACACTCATCACATGTGTAACTCTTTACAGGTCTTTGAGTTCTCTTTCTTCTAGTTGCCGAGTCAACCTGCTGCCCTTGGCACGTTTCTTTCCCTGCATGCAATCTTCTGTGTCTCTTTAATGCTGTAGGGCTTGTGAAATTTGACTGGCAGAACTCACAGGAATACGGTCTAGCCCCTGTGTGTAAGTAGCTATGCCTTACCATGCTCGCAAAGTACAATGAAAAAAAGGTGCAAAACCTGCACTGGTACAGCTTATATCCAGCATGCCAGTAGATGTGATTCAACAAATAGGATAAGCTAATGCAGGAATAATCACATCGAGGACACTGGTAGGGTGGTTTCTCTTTATGTCCCTTCATGTGATTAATAAAAACCCTAGGATATGATGAAGCAAAGAAACAAATTCTGCAGGAAAAACTAACTGGTCCACTCAGAGGTGTAAAGTCCCTTTGTATTTTGCTGAAAAGTTTACTATATTTGCTTTCTTTTTTCTTGGTCTCAGACAGTCTTTCTTCAGATCTTCTCTGCTCAACTTTTCTCACATTCTTTCTATTTTTTCTTGCATTTTTCAACCTAGTTATTTTATGAAGCTTAAGGTGGTTCTTAAGGTTGACAGAAAAGAAAAAGGTTCTTTTACAAAAGCAGCATTTATACATTTTCTTACCTTTATGAGCTGAATAAAGATGCTTCTTTAGATGTGCACTGCATTTATATACAGAACTACAAAATCTGCACTTCAATCTTTCATGCTTATTTGTAGAAGATGCTTTAGGAAGGGGTTTGATGGTGATATTACTTAGGCATCCTACACCTTCTTGCTGGTTTGGGGATTCTTTTGGGCTTGCATGAAGAGAAATTACTTTTTGCTGCCGACATCTTTTTTTAGGAAATTGTGATAATGCCTCATAAAGATGCTCTCCAGGAGTATGTGATTCAGCAGAAGTAGAGGCACTCATCTCCTGTTTCCCTGCCTCTTGTAGCCATTCTTCTGAAGTAGAAGAACATCCATTAACAAACAGAACAGAACAATTATAGGTAAATTTTGGTTCTTCATTCAAGCCACGCTTCAAAAGAGAACCCAGAGTTTCATCTTCAAATTTGCTTCTCTTACTGTTACTGGCTTTATTATGTCCATTCTCTGAAGAGTCAGGATCTACAGGGGAATAAAAGGTCACATGCATGACAGGTCATACAATCACCAATGTTCATGATTAACTGGCAGTAATAATCCTGAATTGTCTAATGACTTGGTTGCTCTGCACTCCTTTTGCTTTCTTAATACTCTCCTATCTCCACTCTTTTAATGTCTCTCTTCCAGTACCTAACGGGGCTGACAAGAAATCTGGAGAGGGACATTTTACAAAGGCCTGCAACGATATAACATGGCGGAATGGCTTTAAACTGACAGAGGGGAGACTTAGATTAAATATTAGGAAGAAGTTCTTCCCTCTGAGAGTGGTGAGGCCCTGGCACAGGTTGCCCAGAGAAGCTGTGGCTGCCCCATCCATGGCAGTGCTCAAAGCCAGGTTGGACAGGGCTTGGAGCAACCTGGTCTAGTAGGTGTCCCTGCCCATGGCAGGGGACTGGAATAAGATCATCTTTAAGGTCCCTTCCAAATCAAACCACTCAGTGACTGTTCTCTGTATGTGTCCACATCCCATCCCCACCCCCACACCAACATTTAATGTATTTTAAGATAAAAAACTCTAGATAGAAGCCTTCTTTCCACTTAAAGCTCTGAATTCCGCTGGACAACACTACATCCCCTATACTTTTAGGGAACAGCTTTATGCCAAAATTCCTATAAAAGTACCATCACCAAACTTTGTTAGGGTTCCATTCTCACAAATATGACACCCCTTTTGCTTTTAAAGTTTATTTTCAGATACTTTTTCCTAATGAAAGGACGCCTTGCAAACTGCAGCAAAATGCAACAGTACCAACTTATTTTAGTTTCATTTTCACATGACTCTGTGAAAGAACTAAGGATACTCCAGCCAATATTCTCTTTCTGCTGCATTTGATAGTAATCCACGATGAAATGCTTACTCTAAAATAAATGGATCTGGCATTCTTCCTATACACTTTCCTACCTATTTCAAAAACTTGAGATTTCTTAAGCTCTTGCACTAGGCTTACTAACAACTTACTTTTTATTTCAAGAATAGTCTCAATCTCCTTGGGGATTTCTGGTTGTTTCTCTTGACTGCTACCGTTTGCAGCACTGACAGGCTCCTCTTCATGTCTGGGTATCACTGTTAATGTCACCTGGCTGTTTGTTTTGATGGTATCATATCTATCCTTGATGCCCGCAGAGAAGAGAGGACGACTTTTCTGAGAGCTGTCATCACCATCACATTCTTCTCTGCAACTGGCTTCATTTCTCTCTGTAAGCTGTGTTTTGCAAGATGATGTAGGCAGCACGTAATTTTGACATTCATCCATGCCTGCACCACCCCCATCAGTTAAATATAATTCATATTCATTACACACACTCTCGGCAACCTGTTTTTCTTCAGTGTATGTCATACTATTATCCTCATTTGAAGCAGTCTTGTTTTCTTCCCAATTGCTCACACTGCTATTGTCATTTGAAGCTGTTCCATTACTTTGTAAGAGAATACTACTGTTCAAGTTCACTTCCAGTTCATCCTCCTCCTTTGACTTGGGAACCGACTCTGCTTGCTCCTCAGGGTCATCTGGGAGAAAATCATCATCGCTCAGCACAAGCACGGTGATTGGGAGAACAATTTCAAAAACATCTGACTCTGAGGACAAAAAAAAAAAAAAAAAGAAAAAAAAAGTATTAATACTATTTCCAAAATACTGCATACATTTCTCATGTCCCCAACACAAAAAGGGTACAAAACTGTTGAAGCAAGTCCAGAGGAGCGCCACAAGGATGATAAGGGGGCTGGGGCACCTCCCGTCTGAAAACACGCTGAGAAAGTTGGGGCTGCTCAGCCTGGAGAAGGCTGCGTGGAGACCTCATAGCAGCCTTCCAGTATCCACCTGCTCTAGTGGAAGTGTCCCTGTCCGTGGCAGGGGGTTGGAGCTAAATGAGCTTTAAGGTGCTTTCCAACACAAACCACTCTCTAATTCTACGGCCGCCACGGCGCCGCGCACCTCCCACCGTACAGGTCCAGGCCCAAGACCAAGCCGCCGCCGTACGGGCCCCGCGCATGGATGCGACCGGGAGAAGCGTTTTCCAGCCCCCGCTGGATCTTTACCAGGGAAGCGGGCACTTACCGCTGTCGTCCGCCAGCTCCGAGCTCCCCTGCGTCACCGACATTCTGCTGCCCTCTCCAGTCCGCTCCCCCATCAACCACCGAGGCTTCCGCACAAAACCGCAACGGCAGCCGCATACCCCGCCCTGCTCGTACGCGCACGCACGCAAGAGGGCAGATGACAGCACCGCCCAGAACGCGATTTCCCAGCGGCCAGCAGGAGGAGATGAGAGTGCGCAGCTGCCTCTTCCTGATTGGAGGAAGGGGACAGGGGGCGTCGCCTGAGCAGGGGTGGGGTGTCCGCTTCACTGCGGAGGAGAGGGGTAGTGGTTAGGTCTGAGTGGGGTTTGTTTGCTTACGGTGGTTTAAAACTTGGTTTAATCACCCAGTCCTTGGACTAGAGTACCCCAGCCGTGAGCAGGGAGGGGATTGCGAAAGCTCAGCAAAATCTGTTCGCGTTTTAAGCTAAACCAAAGAAGATAGCCCATCAGCCGGGCGGTGGAAGGCTCAGACCTCCGCGCCCCGAGTGGTCCTTTCCTCCTCGGCAGAAATATGTCAGGTTCTCGTCATGATGTTTGCTTTGGTCCTGCTGCTGAGAAGGGGAGGTGAAAAAGAACAGGCAGGGTAGGGTGGGGGAGAGCCTTACAGAATAGGCCTGAGGACAATTTGCTAGTGAGAGTGGGTGAGCTGCAAGATGTCCTGAGCAGCTTATCCACAAGCTGTTTCTAAGGATGTTATGGACAAGCCTTCAGAGGTGTTCATTCAGGAATGAGCGTCAGTGTGTTGGTGAGGGTTTGGGCTCAGAGACGAGTGTACTAAGGACACACAGAAGGAGGAGTTTCATGATCAGCGAACAGTGTCTCGGGGCTTAAACACTGCTTTGCCTCACTGTTACTTGCTGCTCTGTGCCATCTCCTTGCTAACTCAGCTTATAAACCAAACTAAAAACAAAGTCATTGTGTCACTAGGCCCAACGGATTTCACAGAAAGTAAATTACAGTAGTGGGTCTGGTTATGATAAGAGTTAATTTTCTTCCTAGCAGCCAGTATGGTGCCGTGTTTTGTGTTTGTGACCAAAACAGCATTGATAAGGTACCAGTATTTCAGCTGTTCTTTGCACAACATCAAGGCCTTCTCTGTTTCCCACTTTGCCCCCCATGAAGCAGGCTGAGGTAGGCAAGAGGCTGGGATGGGACCCAGCCAGGACAGCTGACCCCAGCTCCCCACAGGAGCTTGATCCAAGTGACCCACAGGGTCATTCTAGACTGTATGACTACCAGGTGTGTTACTAACACAGTTTAGTTACAAATCTAAAACAGAACACCGTGCAAGCATCTATGAGGAAAGTTAACACCATCCCAGCTGGAGCCAGTGCACGTGCTGATGGCCATCTAACAGAATAGTAGGAGATTTTGTTCCCTTTTAGTTTACTGCCTGGCTGTCCAGGGGGCTGTTGATAGAAAGAACAGCACAGGAGGGTAAACTGAAATAAAAAGTAAATCAGTAATGAGAGTAAAACTGGTTGTATTTGCTTTGAAAGGACTGTTCTCAACTAGTCTGATAATGTTGACGCACGAGTCACGGACAGTGCAGGAACGATCAATGTGATCAGCGAAGCCAATTTATTACAAAGCTTTAACTCCTTACATACCATTTCTTACAGGCACTTACAGTGATTTGGCATATTATGATCGGATACATGTCTTGAAGACCCTTAGTGATTAACACCTAATTGGTTAAGCACAGGGGTGAGAACTTGACCTCCAAAGCTTGCCAACAGTCCACAGTTCTCATTAACTCGGTGAATTACAGCTTCTTCTTATCTGGCTTGCTTAAGCTTCCTCTCACGACCTTGCTGTATCTTTCAGGATTATTCAGTTTATGTACCAACTATGCGTTCTCCCGTGAGAACACTGTCTCCACATGATAAGCTCACATGTGCTGCCAGAACTTGCAGTCCCTTATAGCGAGGTAAGGATGCAGTGAAGCCTTCATGCAAGGCCTGAGGGGAAAGTGTTGGGGTTTATTGAATCTATGACTCCACTAAATGGGAGGCTGCTGCAGCTCCTTACTGCCAGATCCAGCCAGCAGTAAGGCTGAGCATGTACTGCCAAAAGGCACTCATGTTCATACACCCAGCATACACACACATATATATATACACACGGATTTAAATATACATTCACGTGCATGTATTTGTGTAATAATAATCAGCCACGCAGATTAACTCAGACAGAAAATACGAAGCACTCAGACAAACATGAGAGGTATTGGTGCCCTGATCCTGTTCTTCCTCACTGCCTAAACATGCTGGATTCTGCTAATGGAATAGATACGCATACATCTATAAATATGCATACTATATATATATATGTATATATATACACCCATAGTAAGGATCATTGCAATAGCTGGTGGGGTGTTCAAAGTCTCATTTATGGGGAAAGAAACGGCACACTTTATACATATATATCAAGCCAAGAATTTGTTGTTAGCACAACTGATAACAGTCTAGTTCAAGAATCATTATTAGTCTAGATCTAATTATTATTAAGAAAAAGGAAAGAATAAGATTGCATTTAGAATACTTCTGTGGAGGAGAAATCTCAACAATAATAGAGCAATTAGAATGTAAAGCACACAGTTTCTGTTATCTGGCAATGAAGAAGTTAAGATTTGTAAAGGACTGTGTGTGTGAGATCTTGAAAATCTTGAGTGACTAAAGTCACAGGTCTTGAGAAGAGATAAAAGACTGATAACATCTCGATCAGAAGAAGAGTAACAACTAACTTGGGAAAGATTAGGAAGGAACCCAGGGTCGAAAATCCAGAACTAACTCTGAAAAGCGCAGCAAAGCAGAAGATAACTGTGTCCTCTGTGAGCTTAGTTCACTGTAATAGCAAAAAGCACACCCCCTGAGATGAGACTCTTGCCCACAGAGACCCTTACTCATGGAACATGCATAATGAAGTAAATACGCACTGTGTCCTTAAAAGGAGATGAGAGAATGGAAGAGCCAATTATTGTAGGTATAGATTGTTACATATACAGGAAACACTGATTTTCACTGTTTGAAATGCATTAAAGTGAGTATCTGGCAGACTGAGGGTGTGCTAGGTCCGTGAAACTACCACCTAACACCCATCTTTGCGCAAATAGGAATGGAACAATATCTTGACTCTGGGGTGAGCTGGATGGCTTGCCTAGACCGTTTTCTGCCACAGCAATCCATAGGATGTCCTCCTTGTTCCTTGTGCGAAAAGGAGGGCGGGAAGGCAAAAAAAAAAAAAAAGCAGAAACATCTCCTCCTGCCAGAACCGCCTGAATCTTCTCCACAAGAGGGCTCTGCGGCTGCGGGTTTGCTCCGTGGCTGTGCTGGGAAAGGCTCTGAAATGGGGGAACCTCAAAATACACGAGAGATCACCAATAATCCCGTCCCTGTTCATCTGGTCCAAAGCATCTCTTGTGGAAAGGGGTGATAGATCTGATTAAGAACATCACCTCAGCTGTAATTATCAAAACTAATGAAAAGGTAATTTCCCACACATTTTCTCCCATTTCAGAGGTGACTTTCAAAAGGCATCATATTGTTACCGCAAAAGACAGTCTAAGAAACTCTCCTAAGACTTGATTCAGAGTTTTAAAAAGCAGGCATTCTTTATTGCAGCACTGGGCACACACACAAATCGTTTTGCAAAGGTGAGTGCACCTAAAGTCTACAAGCAGCATCCATATATCCAAAAAAAAAAAATGCATATTTGCAACCTTTCTAGGAAATGTTTTACATTAGATTTCCTGAAACTAATTTTAATATTTTCATTTTAATTACACATGTGCTTTTCTTGCTGAGTGGTGGTCTCCAGGGGTCTCTTGATGGTTGTGGATAGTCTTCTGCTGACTCATCTCTGCTTGCACATGTGAAAAGACTCTCGTGAATTACTTAGCAACTGTGTCTGTGTTTTAGTTTAGTTCTGATTTGTTCTTCATATTGAAGAACCGGCCCTGTCTGTCATGTGAAAAGCCCCTCTCCGGCTTTCTTGTCAGCCCCTTTAGGCACTGGAAGTTGCTTTAAGGTCTCCTTGGAGCTTTCTCCAGGCTGAACAAGCTCAGCTCTGTCAGCGTCTCTGCATGACAAGCCTTCTTCCTTGAAAGTGAGTATTTCCACTCTTAACAGTAACAAACTATAACTCTCAGCCTAGTACTCCTTAATGCCATCATCCACCAACTAAAGTAATCATGCAGTGGCTGAAGTGTGGCCTATAGACAGTGAGTCTGGGTCACAGTGGATCTGTCTTTACAAGCCCATTGCACAAACTCTGGACTGTAAATTCAGCTTGCAGTGGAGTGATAGAAATCTGCTTGCAATAACACTCGTGCCCACAATCCAGAATGAAAAAAAGGAATAAGTTGTGGGAAGTATCTTGTAAAGAATCTCTGTGATTCAGGCACCTATGCCTTCTAACTCTGTGACAAAACCGGGAGAACATCCCACTCTTAAATGGAGGAGGAGTTGACACTAAGTAGTAGCCAAAGGTCATTATTTATGAGCTTCGATTATGATTATCCATGCATGCATGTGTCTTGGCCAGTGAGTGTTCCTATTTTCCTTTGATTTGCCAGACAGCAGTGACAGAAACATGCTTATATTATAATTTTAAGTGTACTTTAACAATAAACAACAATAATCTTTCTGTCTGCAAGATAAAAATAGACACTGATTTGTACTCAGACTTTGTCTATGCTGATTAACAGTCAAATATGTATCTTGTATTTTTGGAAGATAATAAATTTGTAAAACAATTTGGAAAGTATTGGACACTAAGACTGCAGAAAATTGAAGTATCCCCAGTGAAATATAATTATTTGAAGTGTGGATTTTTGACATCTCTGGGGCCAGAAAGGTGGCTCAGATTTACGTCAACATAAGGCATTGACCTGAAATGTGTGACATGAGAGTGCAGTCACCCTAGGCTGCTCCTAGAGCAGGCTTTTTTTTGGTCCTCATGCATCTAATGCTGTGCATTGGAAGGACCCATAACAGTAATTTCATGAGGTCTTACATCAGGAGGCTTCAGTTTGCTAGCTAGGGCCTTGTACCTCCAAAAGGTAGCCTTAAGTCTTCTG